ATGGGGTCAGGTACAGATGACGTTGGTGTGTGTATGGCCCAGCAGAGGGAGATGTGAGGATAAAGAATAAATTCGTAAGGGACGTTCTGGTATATTATTTGCGTGGATTGCCGGGGGTTGCTGTGATAGGAGGTGACTGGAACTGTGTGATAAGGAATAAGGATGTTGAACCGAGAGGGGCAGGGCATTGTTTGGGGATATTGGGAGAATTGTTATCCGGGATAGGATTGACAGATGTTGAGGGAGGTGAGGTGGTGGAGCACACATTTATTAAACGTGGGTATGCGGCTAGGCTCGATCGATTATACGTTCCCAGGACAGTTGTAATACATAGTGTGAGGGTAATGGACGTAGTATTTTCTGATCACAGGGGTGTTTTGGTGGATATAGGTTGGGAGGGGTTGCCGAGAAGGTGTAAGGGGTTTTGGAAGTTGAATGTAAAGTTGTTGCAGCAAGAAGAGTATCAACAGTCATTTGTTCAATTGTGGGAGGAGTTGGTGGCGGAGGCGCCTGGAATAGTGAATTGGTTATTGGTGGGACTCTGTGGCGAAATCTCGTATTAAGGAATTTTATATTCGTAGTGGGAGGGAATATAACAGGTTGAAGTATGGGTACCAATCTTATCTTGAGGGACAGTTGAGAGCTTGCTACGAGCGTGGGAGTGCTAGTCATCCGGTGGATGATATTGAGGGATTAAAGGAGCGTATCAGGGATTTGCAAAATGAAAGATTTGATGGCGCGCGAGTTTTGGGTGGCTGGAAGAGGTGTTATGGGGTGACAGGCCTTCGGCATGCGTGTTGAGGAAACAGCGTAAGAGAAGAGTGGCGACGGAGATGATGGGATTAACTGTTCAGTGGGGATGGGAGGGTATAGAGAGGGCAGGTATTAGTAAACGACAGAGGGTATGAGTGGTTATCTAGATGCATGGTTTAGGTCATATGCACAAAACGGAGGTATTCGAGATGAGGCTTTAAAGGAAATGGGAGGTTTCGTGCAATGTGAGATTGATGGTATGGATAGGGTAACATTAGAAGGTCCGATCACGGAAAGTGAGATTTCGCAAGCTTTGTCTGGTGCAAGTTTAGGTAAGGCGCCAGGTGTAGATGGGTTGCCTAATGATTTTTACGTTAGGAATTGGGAAGTATTGAGAGGATTTTTAGTTAGGTTATTCAATGTAATGAAGGATGATGGGGAAATGGGGGAGCAGCAAAGGACTGCTGTCGTGGTATTAGTTCCGAAAGGTGGACAGACTACAGTAGAGGATTACCGAGCAATATCGCTTATGTGTGGCGATTATAAGTTATTTGCACGAATATTAGGGAATAGAATAAAAAAGGTGATAGGTAACGTAATTGACAGAGGACAATATGGGGTACCGGGTAGGACAATGTATGAAGGGCATGGAGTTCTTAGAAGTTTTATAGAAAAGAGGGGGAGTTGGGGGGTGGGGGTGTGTTGGCATTGGATTGGCGAGCTGCTTACGATAGTGTGGAGAGGGATGCGTTATGGAGGTTCATGCGTTGGCAGGGATTCGGGAAGGAAATTATATCTTGGGCGAAAACATTGTATCAGGGAGCATCTATGAGAGTACAGGTTAATGGAAGGCTAGGTGTTAACATTCAGATGGGAAGGGGTTTGCGACAGGGTTGCCCTCTGTCGCAAATATTGTTTGCGTGCCTCCAGGATCCCTTTTATAGGGCAGTTAGGTGGAGTATCGCAAGTGGAAGGGTTAGTAATGAACGAGAGGGTTGGCCGGGTATTGTGGGTTATGTGGATGATACAACTGTATTGGTGAGGGATGAGACGGATTTACACAAGGTTGGAAAGGTGGTAGATGTGTTTGGAGAGGCTACTGGGATGGAAATTAATGTGGCAAAGTCTAAGTATATGGACCTAGGCAATAACGTAAATAGAGATGGGACTGTAGGGCGCGGGTGGAGTGTGGTGGATCAGCTATTGATTTGTGGGATAGTGTACGCTAAGAATGATAGGGTCGCACAAGAGGTAAATTCGATGCGCACCGTGGATGGGGTATTGAAAAGATTGGGTGGTTTGAGGACGGCGCAGCTAACGTTGCATCAGAGGGTCATTGGGACGAACGTGCTGTTGTATAGTAAGATATGGCACGTGGTGGCAGTATACCCGCTGAGGCGGCGAGAGGTGCAACGGTTGCAACATGGGATTTTCCGATTTATATGGGGATCGGGTTGTGACTGGCTAAGTAGAGGGGTGGTGACGCTTCCCGTTAGCCACGGGGGGCTGGGGCTTATACATTTAGAAAAGCGTATGATGAGTGTGTATCTAAAACGCGGGTATTTGGGGGAGGTGGGGGCGAGGAAAGGGGGGCTAGAAAAACTGCGTATGGATATGCAACGATGGTGGGGGGGGTAAGGATTTAATGATTGGTGAGGCCATGTTGAGGGTTTAATGACGGTGAGGGATCCGAAGCGCCTTAAATTGAGGATTCTTGAGAGGGTGGGGGGTGGGTCTGTGGTGGCGGCAGTTGAGGGGGCATACCCCATGTATGCGTGGGGGAATATCTGGAAATGTTTACGGCAATTGCGTATTAAACCAGGTGTAAGGGAGGTAATGTTTAGGTTTCTACATGGAATCTTGCCGTCTGGTGTTGTGTTATTTAATAGGAGACTAAGGGAGGGAGGGGAGTGCAAAGCGTGTGGATGTTCCGAGACTATTTTTCATGCGGTGTATTTTTGTAATTATTTAGAAGCTGTAAGGGTATGGTTAGGTAGGGTAGTTAGGTTAGTGGGTGGGGAAGGGTTACAGGTGTTAAGGGTGTTAAGTTTAGATATAGGTGGGATGAGTCAGATGGTGGTGAATGCGGTTGCGTATGTGGTTACTGATTTTATTTTATACGTCTTGGGCTATGAGGGAGGTGGGTGTGGATAAAGAATAAAGGTGTTAGCGGCCACCATTTATAGAACTAAGTGTCGCAATAGGGATGTTTATGGGGGAAGGTGGGAGACAGCGTTTACTGAGGGATACCGGAGTTTTAAGTTAAAGGATTTACGGGATTTAAGTGTAAATGGGTAGCGACGGGCTAGTTTCTTGAGCGGAGATGTGTGGATGGCTTTTAAAGTGTGTGACTGGATTTGCACTGATACATTTATGCTTTTCTGAGTAGTGAGTGTGGTGTGGGTGGTGTTTTTACACATGTGTTCCCTTTATGTTGTGAAGATTTTGGATAGTATATGTACGTAATGTATTGGAGCACTACATCATTGTGTGTATACAAGGTGAATGAAAGGGTAGAATCTTAAAGTTTTTGTGTGTGTGAGAATGACTGTTCGTTATTGTGAGAGGGCCTTCAAAGATGCTATAGAAAGCATATACTAAATGGTGTTACTAAGGTATGCCATATGACTGTATCGAATATGCTGTGATACAAAGTCCGGGGTTTCCCTTCTTGTTGGAAGCATTCTGTAAGACACAATTTCTGTATTCAGAAGGTTCGAAGTTTACATAGCTGTAATGAGTAACGTGGTACAGTTTTATATTATGCGAGATTGTATTTTTGTACATAAAGCCTAACATATAATGTTTCAGCGGCCTGGTTAAGATTATATAGTACATGTCGTGTGACACTGTATGTGTAGGGTAGTGTTAAATATTTTAAGTACAACGCTGTTGTTTTCCCTTTGCTATTTTATGGTTTTAAAGTCACATATAAGAGTATATGTAAGGTAATATAAAAATGTATATTGATTTTGTGTAAATACGCAATTTCAGATGACTTTGTTGGATCAGGTGTGCATATGAGTTCAAGTAGCGGTGTATATTATGTATTAATACTGGTATAGGGTATATAGTGTATGAAGAAGTCTTGGGTGGATTGCACCCGTGCTGAGATATAGAGTATATTATCCTTGTATGCTAGGCAAAGTTTTCATAATTGTTACTTAGAGCAAGTAGTATCCTGCGCTCTTATAGTATGTCATTGTTTTGTAGGTATTTGATGGGGGGGGGGTACATTTTACTTCCAGAGCACATATGTACGACTTTATAAATGTACCTTTGGTGGGGGGTGGATGTATAGGTTTTAATGGTATGTGGTGAGGTTTTTACCTTTAAGAATTGTTTTGTATATAAAACTTGGCATAAGATGTTTAAGTGTGCTGAAGTAGATTCTCTGGATATGTTGTTGGTACACCTGTGCGAAGTTTCTTTTTCTTTTTTGATTGTGTATACGTATGTTGTACAATAATTTTGTTGTTACATGTTGATTGGTTTCGTAACATGTTTGCTTACACGTATAATGTATACTGTATTTTAAATACAAAAAAAAAAAAAAAAAAATGTATAGAGGATGAGGGGCAGTTTGTGTCAGCACAAAGTTAAATGTTTATGTGTATTTTGACAATGTAATTTATAATTCTGGGTAAGAACTGATACTATGTTCTTTTATTTATTTAATGTATTGTATTGTTTTAAATAAAATATAAAAAAAAAAATCTGGAGAGTGAAGTAGTGAAGGCAATTTCAATACATAGCTCTAAGAAGAAGTATGATAAGGCTCTAGAAGAAGGGAGAGAATGACCTAGTATCAACCAGCGAAGAGGCGGGGCCACGAGCTATGACTCGACCCCCTGCAACCATATATATGTGAGTACACACACACTCACACACATACACAGCCCTCCCCCGACTTACTCAAATTGGTAATTACACACACAAGTTACGGTCGTGTGTACAATACTACTTTTAAAATAAATAAAATTCACACGATGTATTGAATAACAAAACACAATACCGTGACAGGAACAATACACAAATAACTAAAACTTATGACGACGTTTCCGTCTGACTTGGACCATTGTGTTACTAGTTTATAGTCCAAGTCGGACCGAAACATCGACATTAGTTTCAGTCTCCTAAGCGAGGATTGTGTGTATGAAATGCGTTGTAATCAATTCATAAAAATCCTAACGCAATTCTGATGATGAACCACAATAAGGAAGTGAAAGAACTCGTCATAAGCTGTCATAAATATATTTATTTTCAATGTTTCTTAACGTCAAATGCCTGACAGTGTATCCTCTATATATAAACAGAGGAGTAGAGCACTGGGTCTACTGGCCTATGTTAGCAGCGTATCCACCTCAGCCAGTTGGTTTATTACTTCCTCAGCGACCGTATCCATATCCGCCACCGTATCCATATCCACCGCCGTATCCATATCCACCGCCGTATCCATATCCGCCACCGTACCCATATCCACCACCGTGTCCATAGCCACCGTGTGCCCCATGTACTCCCGCGTTTCCAGGTCCGCCGAAACCATAGCCACCCTTAGGGTTCCTCAGGAAGTAAGAGGCATGAGAATATCCATATCCAGGATGGCTTCCACCGCTAATTCCACCATAGCCCCCATAGCCATATCCTCCATGGCCCCCGTAGCCATATCCACCATAGCAAGTGGCCACTAGGAGCGCTGCAATTGCTGACAGGAATAATAGTTTCTGTAAATCAAAATACATACTGATAGACATGTTAATTCACTGAAATACGTAGTTAATATGTTTTGAAATTTAGGGAAACCTTTTAAAAATTAACAAAAAAAAGTTTCTTTTATGACTTATTTTAAGAAATAGATACAGAAAGGGTAAGTTAGAAATGGGAAAAAAGGAATGGAGAATTTAAGGAAGGGAATGGGAAGAGAATGGTATAACAGAGAGGAAAGGGAGAAAGATGGATGAAATTAAATGAATTCTTACCAAACTCCTGACTACAAGAAATATATATATATATATATATATATATATATATATATATATATATATATATATATATATATATATATATATATAATATATATTATTTAAACACGCACACCCACATGAGCCAGGAGCTATGAATCGACCCCTGTAACCACAATTAGGCGAGGCCACACATGTGGAAGCATTCACAATAAAACGCAAAACATTTTTTTTACACATGCAATATATATGTAATGTAATTAAGCCACAATATAATGAAAATCTGCTTAGGCCTTTCGGAACATGCCGTCAGAAGCTTGATCATTCAAAGATATTACAAGGGTTAGCTAGAAATCTAGAGAAATTAGGAAGAAATGGGTATAACAACATTTTCTTTTGAAGCATAATATTATCGATTGTTTGTGCATTATATATATATTATATATATATATATATATATATATATATATATATATATATATATATATATATATATAATATAATATATATATATATTGGTTACCATGTTTAGCGTATATCTGCACGTGCTTGATTCAGCCAGTGAACTGAAAACCAGGTCCAGAACAGAAGCTTTTATATCCATGTATGTATACCCATGTGCGGCGGGCAGCACAAGTGACAAGGGCAGCTATTGTTTGTAGCTATTGTTTGTAAGTGACCCTGACGAAATAACTTGCGGAAAAATTTAACTATTTCTTTTTTTTTTTTAATTAAGAAAGTTTCTTTATTATATTTTCCATAAGGAATGATGCTACGAAGCTATCAAGAAAATATATTTGCATTTTTATCAAGTATTAGAACTTCTCTGTTGATAAGGGTGCTTTAGGTAGTATAATACTTTCTCCATTCACGTACACAGTCACGGCTCGTGGTTCTGCGCGTGTGCCAGTATTTGTCAGTCTTTTCCTTTCAAGTGTAAAACTCCGAGACAAAACAATATTACGTGGTAATACCTTCCCCCAACCCCAGTTCGTATATAAAATCTGATGTGTACGTCTCATGACGGGCCTGCAGTCACTGAGAACCTAGGGGCGACTCTACCGTGAAACAAATGAAACTTAAGCTTTAGGGCCCCTAATTCCCGAGGGGCTCCAGAACCGACTATAGTTCACATTCTTTAAAAATTTTGGGTCTACTGTACCAGAAGGGGTTGCGAAGGGATCCCCGTAATAGTTCAAGCTTCAGGGGCCCCAAAAATGTAGGTCCCCTACTGCAGAGAGCAGTAATGTATATACACAGAGTGGTCAATGTAGGAACTCTCAGAGTAATCCTTAATCCTGATTATAATAAACATTAAAGTATCTTGTAGACAGGCTCCATGCAGTTTTAATTTCCCTCGTAAAGTCGACAGAAATAAATTCTAAGAAATTAATACTCCATTGTTCTACTAATTCGTGTTTTGGGCTAGGCCAGAGTGGTTAAATAAGAATATTTTATAAATAATTTTTTTATAAATAAGTTATCTTTCTGTGACAGATAAATAGATATGAACTAACATACTGCAATATGCGCATCTGCAGTAGAATCGCAACAGGCGATCTTAAGCTCGAGGATATATCTCATACTCTATTCATTAAATCAAAAATTAGTCGTGATAAACGACTGTCAATCAAAGAACAGAAAACTGGAAGGAAAAGGAATCGAGGTCCTGCGCGTAGCAAGCCGGACAGTATACTATTAAACTGCGGTATTCTCAATAGGATGCTTTCATAACCGTCACTTCTGTGAAAGGATGCAGAGAGAATCAAATGTATGAGAAAGTTGTTGTGGTGTGGGAGGTCCCTGTGATGTTATAAACAGTGGAGGCTGGTGCTACCTGTCACAGAAGTGACAGTTATAAAATGTTCCTATTGAAACCAGCGTGGCTGCATGGTGCAGCGTAGGGGCTGTCAAACACAAGGTCTTGGTTCGATTCCCTGTTTGATTATTTACAGTAATATATATATATATAATATATATATATATATATATATATATATATATATATATATATATATATATATATATAGGCAGAATATGGGGAATTCTTTAGCTCAAGATCTTCCACAATTTCGTGCGTCGTCAGGAGCTATGCAATGTTTCAAATCAAGCAACAGATAGAGAGAGGGGAATTATTTTGCTAGACTTGCAACATTACATAGCTCATGACGACGCACAAAAGTGCAAAAGGTCTTGAGAAAAACATTTCCATCCCCTTGCGGCTTGAGATGTCTACATTGTTAAGTGAGGTCTATATTGTGATATATGCTTTATAAGAGAGGCCTCTATAATGATGAACAACAAAATTACAAGTAAATATTTCTTTGATATTAGTTCAGTCTACCCAAATGGCTTGTGTCTCTAGAACGAGTAAACAAAACACTACCCAATGGCTTGTGTCTCTAGAACGAGTAAACAAAATACTACCCAATGGCTTGTGTCTCTAGAACGAGTAAACAAAACACTACCCAATGGTTTGTGTCTCTAGAACGAGTAAACAAAACACTACCCAATGGCTTGTGTCTCTAGAACGAGTAAACAAAACACTACCCAATGGTTTGTGTCTCTAGAACGAGTAAACAAAACACTACCCAAATGGCTTGTCTCTCTAGAACGAGTAAACAAAACACTACCCAAATGACTTGTGTCTCTAGAACGAGTAAACAAAACACTACCCAAATGGCTTGTGTCTCTAGAACGAGTAAACAAAACACTACCCAAATGACTTGTGTCTCTAGAACGAGTAAACTAAACACTACCCAAATGGCTTGTGTCTCTAGAACGAGTAAACAAAACACTGACTTCTTGGCCAGACGCCACGTCATAGTTTCCCTTTAGTCCTATACAAAATTTGCTGAAATTTTTCCTTCGACAGAATACACTCAGCACAGAGACACCACGGGAGAGCTTTTCACAATATTATTTCCACAATATTATTTGCCATTAAAATATTTAATTGCATGAAGTGCGTGAGAAAGAGACTGTCATTGTATAATAACACCAAGACATACTTAGGGTTGTATTCTGTGTTTAGTTCGTATTCTGTGTTTAGTTCGTATTCTGTGTTTAGCTCGTATTCTGTGTTTAGTTAGTATTCTGTGTTTAGTTCGTATTCTGTGTTTAGTTCGTATTCTGTGTTTAGTTCGTATTCTGTGTTTAGTTCGTATTCTGTGCTTAGTTCAGTTCTTTAGTATTTTTTGTTAAGTATTATAAGTGGGATGGAATCTCGTAAATTTTATCAACCTACCGAACAGAGAGTTCAGGACTATTTGTTTTCCCGTGTCTTCCCCTTCATGAGTGGTTCCTTGATGCTGGTAAAGGGCTCTTAATCGAAGGAATTAGACCCGGTCTCTCCTTAAGATCGAAATTGTTGGCCTTTCATTTCCCAGGCGCTGTGACCCCTTACATTTATCACTTCCCTTTATATAATAATTAATAATAATAATAATAATAATTCAGAACCCTCGTTAATATAAAAGTAAGAATTATTTAAAAAAAATTCTTGGTGCTTTTAAGCATTAATCTTTAAAGAACGAAAATTCCTTAAAAAATTCCCTTTAATACACTATCAATAGTGAACTTTATTAACTAAATAACAAAGCACATGGCCACTAGAAAGGTATATCCTCAACATACCTCAGTCATACGGCTGGCAGAGGGAAATTATTTTTTCCAAGCTGTGGTTCAATGAAATCCGTGCAGAAGTTTTTCACTACAGGTTACAAAGGCTTCCAGTACTCATGTCAAGGTTAATGGATAATGGCATTTAAAACTTATCGAGTGCATGAGGGTCATTAAGGCTGCATGGCACTTGTTCACCACCGAGTGAAAACACTTTGATCACTAAAATCGGGACTAACGTAAACTCTCAGTGTAAACTCTCAGTATAAACTCTCAGTGTAAACTCTCGGCGTACATACGCTGAGAGAGACGCATTTCGGTGTATGTATCCTGTGTGTTGGTATTATTATTATTATTATCATTATTATTTTTTTTTTTTTTTTTTTTTTTTTTTTTTTTGCAAAAAGGAAACCTGTCATTGAAAAAAGATTGATTTATATTGATAGAATTTACTAAACGTTAATTCATTAACTTTTTCTCATAACGTTTTTCCAAGCCATGAATGTTTTAAATTCAAGAACTTAAATCACTTATCTTATAATTACTTCACCTCTCAAAAAAATTTAAACAAAGAGAAAGTGTGAAAGAGATAATATGCAAAAAAAGGGAATTTTAATTAAAACATTAACAAAAAACTCACGTTTTATTATTCACTTGTACAATACGAAAACTGTTTTTATTTGAAAATAAAACTCATTATGTTATTATAGAGTTGTGACTTTTATTTCCGAGTTCGCAAGAATGATTAAGATTTAAAGCCTATTAGGATGTGAATTTGTATCTGATGGGATGCTTGACATCCTTTAAGGCTGATGGTGAGTGTTTCAGTGATGTGTGGAGGCTTCGTAAGGTTGATGGTGACTTCGTAAGGTTGATGGTAACTTGACGTGATGTGTGGTGACTTCGTAAGGTTGATGGTAACTTGACGTGATGTGTGGTGACTTCGTAAGGTTGATGGTAACTTGACGTGATGTGTGGTGACTTCGTAAGGTTGATGGTAACTTGACGTGATGTGTGGTGACTTCCTAAGGTTGATGGTAACTTGACGTGATGTGTGATGACTTCGTAAGGTTGATGGCGGTTTTCAGTGATGTGTGGTGACTTCGTAAGGTTGATAGTGGCTTGTAGTGATGTATGGTGAGGTCATTAGGTTGACGGTGACTTTCGTATTGATGTGTGGTAGTTTCTTGAGGTTGATGGTGACTATTGTATTGTCAAGCGATGACGTCGTAAGGTTGATGGTGACTGTTATAGTGATGTGTGATGATTTAGTAAGTTTATGACACTTTTAAAGTGACGATTTTCCGTGTTTTCAGTTATAGGCCCAAAAAAATTATTTCCCGTAACCACCTCCACTACTGTGTCCACCTCCACCAAAACCACCACCACTGCTGTGTCCACCTCCACCAAAACCACCACCCCCACTGTTGTGTCCACCTCCACCAAAACCACCACCACCACCACCACCTCCACTACTGTATCTACCTCCACCAAAACACCACCACCACCTCCACTACTGTGTCCACCTCCACCAAAACCACCACCACCACCTCCACTACTGTGTCCACCTCCACCAAAACTACCACCACCACCACCCCCGTACCTGCTACCACCACCACTCCCATGTCGTGTACCACCCCCACCACCAAAGAAGCCTCCAAATCCTCCTGAAAAGCCTCCGCTTCCGGAGCCTCCATGACCACCACCTCCGAAACCACCTCCTCCAAATGACCCTCCGAAACCACCTCCTCCAAACGACCCTCCGTGACCACCGCCTCCAGAAGAGCTGGTTCTTCCTACATAGATACCTCCTCCGCTTCCTCCGCCTCCAAAGGCACTACTACTGAAACCTCCTCCTCCTCCGCCTAAGGATAAACTTCCTTTTCCACCTCCTCCAAAGAAACTATTCCCGCCTCCAAAACCTCCTCCTCC